GTTACAACAGTTCATTTGGGCTGCTGTCAAAGCTGTCAGTCAGCATCTTAAGCAGACACACCCCCGACATTTCAGCGCAGAAAATGCTGCTTATTTATTCATTACTTTGAAAACCAATTTTATATACTTTCTGCAATCACTCAAATTTAGCTTATGTTGGTTGTAACACATTTCTGTGGTGAGACAAGCTCAGAACTGACGTTTGCAGCTTTACACAGGTTTTAAGCAGTAACATTAGAAAGTCATATAGTGTGTGACACATCCTGGCTTCAGAACAGAAGGCTCAGTGTTAGGACTATGCAAAGCCTGTGCTTCGAGAAATGCAAATCTGTGATAGACCTGATAGGCCACATGTACCCTTGCAGCAGAGCCCAGAGCGTTCCCTGATGCTCTGTGGCCTTCAGTTAGTTCTGCAGTACAACCTGTGACTTACATGATGGTTAGAAGAGGCTCCTTTGCCCTTTGATTTGGCCTTGCCTCCCGCTGTGGCGCTGTTGCGGCGCGCCTGCTCGTGGTCAAACTCCAAATCCTCCAGACGCTGAGTTAATGCCAGTTTCTGCTGTATGGCCATACGTAACAGAGAATTCAGCGTCTTCTTCTCGTCCTCGGCTGCAGCCAGCTGCCTCTGCATGTCGTCCAGCTGGGTCACGTACTCGTCACATCTGAGAGGAAGAGGAGAGCGAGCAGGTGGAGAACAAAGCGAGAGGGAGGAAAAAAGCAGTAAACATTATTTGCCAGCAGGTGGAGTCATTTTTCTTGAACTGCTGCTGTTGTTGTGCTGCTGTTGTCTCCATTCCTCAGGCAGCATTTTCCAGATGGGAGGAAGAGGTCCCTGCTAGCTGACTCGCACAAGTGTTACATCAGACTGTTCCCACAATGCCTTGTGTCTGTCTCATAAACAGACAGTTGTGCAGAAGAGCGACCGCTTCGGCTGGTTTTGTTGCATTGCTGCAAGGAGGCAGAATTAGGATTTAAAACTAGATCGCGTTTCTTTCGGTGTTTTATAAAAATATGTCCTCTAACAGACAGATGTTGTGTGTTACAGCGAGCTCTCAGGACTGCTTGGCCACAAGTACACCACATTAAATAGATAAGTAAACACTATGTGTATATATATGTCATGGTATCTATATGTTTCTACCATGACACGTATATCATCAGAGACTGTCGATTCTGAAGATTGGCAGAGATTGTGATTGTTATTGCAAACCTTTTGTACAGGAACAAAAACACAAAGAATATGTCAGTATAGTTAAAAAAAAAAAACAAAAAACAAAACAACCATTTTATTTAGGTATCACCGTACGCAAAGCTACAAATACTGATAAAGTACTTTTTTTTTCTTTACTAATACTGAAAAGGCTGTGACATGTTAAATGGATCATTACTGTAATTTCTGGACTATAAGCCGCTACTTTTTTCACATGCTTTGAACTCTGCGGCTTAAACAACGATGCGGCTAATTTATGGATTTTTACGAATTTGCCTCGAGACCAAAGTGACATTGAGAGCGACAACAAAAGACTGAGGAAGTGTGTGACGAAGTGATTCTGAGGCTGTTCAACTCCGACACTTTAGTGGTTTTAGTGCAGGAGGAAGATGAAGATAGCGATCAATGACTTTTCCTAATAGGCTGCTGTATTTTTTTATTTTCTTAACCAGCCGTGCTACAGGCACTGTTCAGAAAAAAAGCATCTACGGTACGTATTTAATTAAAAGTTAAAAAAATCTCTCTGTGTAAGTATCTCCTGTTAAAACGTGGACACCTGCAGTTTATAGACAAGTGCGGCCTGTATATGTACAATTTGTTTTCTTTTTAAAGTTATCGGATGCGGCTTATGTTCAGGTACGCTCAGTAGTCCGGAAGTTACGGTAAATTTGATTTTCTTATTCTACCAGATTCAAGTCTCTACCACGACACATATAAAAATATTTATCTTTTATACTTATAAAAATATAAAGCGTGTACCATACCTTGTAGCGAACATGGCTCGAAGCGAGGAGAATGTAGCAGCGTCTTCTTTCAGAGCCTTGAGTTCATTGCGGAGCTTCATCATGGTCTCAGTCACCATGGCCTTCTCGCTGTCATACTTACTCTTAAGGTTTGCCAGAGCAACCTCAGCCGTCTAAAGGGAACAAGACAGAATTATTCATTTCTTCGGTGGTAATCTGTAGCTGAAGTGGACTATCTTTCTCTGCTGGGCTTGTCTGTCTGAGAAACAATGAACATCCTTCCTCCAGCAAGTACACAAACATACAGACATACAGGACATGCATACGGCACACTCAGAACCGACGTCTGACCTGTTTGTTAGCCTTGAGCACAGCTCTGAGCGTGGCAATCTGTTCCCTTTTGGTGCTGAGCAGGGACTTCAGTTTGAGAATCTCTTCCATGCAAGCTTCTTTGTCTTTGTCTGCCACTGTGCTCAGCTCCAAATTGGCAAGTCTCTGCCGTGACAGCTCCGTGGTGCGGTCCACCGCCTGCTGCAGATGGCGGATCTGGTCCCTGATGATGGCTACGAGGTTGTAGATATTCATGGGTTCTGGCCGGTGCTCTGGAGCTGCAGAAACTGTGGTGCTGTTGGACTTTCCAGTTTCAGTCTCACTGATCAAGCCGTTAGTGAGAAGCACAGACTGGTGCTCTTTCCCTTCTTGCCCCCTCCTAACCAGAGCCTTGCCTTCCTTGTAGTAGTCGAGCATGACCCGGTTAGGAGTCTCATTGTTGCACATGCACACATGGTTGTAGAGATTGGCCAGCTCTTCGCTGAACGCTATGAGCTCATCTTGAGCCACGTTAAGGCTGCCAAGGGATTCTCCTGCAGCCTCGCTGACCAGACGGAGCTCCTTCTCCAGACGAGCCACCTCCGCCTTATCCGCTTGGCTGGTCTTCTCCAAGGACAACAGCTTTGACCTCAAGTCCTGGACATCGCTCTCCAACCGTGCTCGCTCGTCTTCATATTGGGTGCGACACTCCTCATACTGCGCCCTCAGCGTCTTCAGCTCTTGCCTCAGTTCCCCGGCCTCGGACACTGCCACCGTGTATTTACACTGCAGGATCTCGGGTCCGTTGATGTCCAGCTCGTAGTAGTCTCCGTCATCGTGGCTGTCCCTGTCTTTCTCGCTGTCGAGGGCAGACTGGCGCTCCTTACTGGCCTGCAGCTTCCTCATTGCACTTAGATTTTCAGTCAGCCTGTTGACGGTTTCCTTCTGCTCAGACACGGTGCCATAGGCCTGCTCCAGCTGCTTCTGGCTCTCCTGCAGAGAGTTGAGCAGCGCCACTTTTTCCCGCTCAACCTAAAATGTAGAAATAAAGACAATTTCAGGCAGATGGACAATTTTACACCTAAACAAATAACACCAACAGCTCCTTTGACCAGGGGACAGAATGAACATGAAGTGGATGAAACGGCTTTCAAAGAGCAGAGCGAATCAGATGAATGGACTCAGACAGCTGCTCCAAGATGTGCACAAACATAAGCAGCATACTAGACCATCCACAGTAGATTTAAAATGCCAAGGCCCAAGAGCATCATATGTCTGTCATACCTGCCCGAGCTGTTGTTTAAGCTTCTGTATCTCCGAGATGTTGAGCTCGCTCAGCAAGTCGTCCACCAGGCTCGGAGCCGGCTTCAAGGCCTCTCCTCTCTTGTTCGCTGCAGTTCTGTTGTCTTCATCGCTCTCACCTGCCTTGACCAAGCCGTTCTCGAAGCCTCTAATGAGGTCATCGTTGTCGGGTTCAGTGATGGCGGAGGGGTCGTCGTGGAGTTTAGGGCTGTCGAGTGAGATGTTGAAGGAGCTGCTGTACACAGAACCGCCGATGGTCATGTAGTGGGAGAGCTCCTTGCGCAGCGTGGCTTTCTGCTCACGCTCCGTCTTGATGGTCTCTAGAGCTTCCGTCAGCTGCCGCTCAGCGATTTCTCTCAGACGCATGGCCTCCTCCAGCTGGCTGTGCAGACACTGGGAGTCCTCCTCCAGGCGACGGATCTCATGTTTTAGACCTTCGAATTCCACCTGCAGATTGTCAAAAATTGACATTTTTACAATACACTGTAATGAAAACATTCACTCCAAGAAGCTGAAATCACAGAACCCAGACTTTAGAGCTTTAAAGTAACCTCAAAAATCTGATTAGTTGGCGATTACTTTAATAGTTGACAATCATGCATTAATCGCTGCAGCTCTGTTGTTGGCAAGTTGATTCATTCTGCAGCTGCAGCTACAAATCGTCGTACCAGAGCCGCTGGCAGCGACCAAATCAGAGCTAAAAGTCAGGATTCATTTATAAACTCCTCTATCTGGATTTAGAATGGAAGTTTTTCTAATAGAGTTTGGTTTGATAAAGGTTCATTCTTAAACTGTTGATTACTTTCTGGATGAACTGATTGGCCGTTCGGTCTCTAAAATGTCAGAAAACGCTGAAAAATGTGCATCAGGGTTTCCTCAAATGTCATATCTTGTCCAAAGATCTTCAGTTTGCTGGTGGAGTTTGGTTTGTTGAAGGTTCTTTGTGGGGCTTTGTGGTCAAAATGTCTTGCGGCTTGACAATATACTCTTTCTTTTAAGTAAAATTCAGTGGGCATAACAAACAAAAGGGGATTTTTTCTTGATTTAAAACATGACAACCTCCAAAACGCACATCAACATCAACACAGTTCAGTTTGAATTTATCCGTGTTGCATTTTCACAATAGATGCACATGACACAATGACTCTGCGTCTATATACGAGCCAAAAGCACTAATGTGGGTAGTTTGACTCATAAGAACAGGAATAACTTTACTATTTTAACATGTTTCCACCCACTTCAGGAAGCGAGTGCTGCCTTTAGTGCTGATGATCTCACCTGGTTCTGTCTCAGCACAGACACTTGTTTCTGCAGGGAGATGTTCTCCTCCTCCAGCTCACTGTAGTCCTGCAGCAGCCGAGTCTCCCGAACCTTGTACTCTCTGATGTCATCTCGCAGCTGACCGCGCTGCAGCTCTGCCAGATCGGAGTTCTGCACACAAGAAGAGGGACAACACAGGGATAATGGTGTGTTTTGGCAGGTTGCACGAGCAGAAATTAACATCATAGTCACTGGATGTAGTGTCTTTAGCAACCAAGCAGTGCAGACGACATCCCTGCAATGTTCCAGTCAGTGCGAGTGAAATGAGGATCAGCATGTCAGCATGTTTCACATACCGCAGGGGCAAGACCTTGGCAGGCAAATGTAGTGACGGAAGAAGGACATGGTCCACTTACCAGTCCAGTCTACAGAGAGCCCTGGTGGAGGACATCCTTTGTGTCACTCACTGCGGACCATTACATCATCTTTCCTGCTGGGCTCAGTGCAAACTTGTGAACTGACCCTCCCCCCGTTACAAGCAGCAACTGTCCCACAACCCAATCAGTTAAATGACAGTTTCTGCTAGCTTTAATCTAATCATGATAATATCTCTGTATAGATTACATATATTTAAAACTTGTTTCTGACACATTTAAAGGGCACTGACGTCTTCAGTCGACCACATGTTAAGAGAATGGCTGACGGGGGTAAAGGAAGGAGTCTGGTCTAGGACACTGTACTCTAAATGTCAGGAAATCCATTCTGCAGCTGTCTGAATTATTACCTCTCTCATCTCCAGGGCAATGGATGAGAGGCGGTCGTTTTCAGCTTGTGCACTGGAGAGGGAGGCTTTGGCCTGTCGGAGCTCATTCTGTAACTCGAGGACCTTCTGCTGGTAGAGAGCCTCCTTGCTGGCAGACTCCAGGATCAGTGACTCTTCCCTGCTTTCCCCATCTGCCGCCACCTTCCTGTGGGTTGAGTGAGCTTGTCCAAAGGCCTAAGGACAGAAAGTAGAAACAACAGAACAAACTTTTTTTAGATCAGGGATTTAGCGCAAAGCCCTCTTCAAGTGCATGCAAAAAACCACAAGTAGATCCAGAAGAATAATGGATAATGGTTTCGCTCTGTTGCTCAAATGGTACACCCACTACTTTACTACCAATTGTCTCTTCGTCTCTGGTGAGACAGAAGATCATTCCAGATTATTGCAAACACTGATTACACTTGAACCGCATGAATTTGAGTATGTCATGCTCATATGAGAAGTTGACTTGATGGTTGCCGTTTACTCAATCAGCATTTGAGGAACTAAAGCCATTTATTCAGTTTGCATTGTCTGATTGAAAATCTGAGATGAGAAAAGTTTTCTTTAAAAAAAAAACAAAAAAAAAGTGGGTAGAAAACACTGAAAATAAGGTGCAACACAGACATTTATATCTGACACACCACACTCATGGTTTGCACAAGTCTGCCCTCCTCGGCATGTAATAATCGAATTAGAACCTCCTGATCTTAATCTATTTTTATCTTTGATTTTCTCTTCAGCTTCTCTCTTAAGCCCCTTGTGTGATGTCGTCCTTTTAACCAGCTTCTAACTCGCCATCCATTCTGAAAATTTTCATTTTTTGTCTTTACGTGCACTTTTTATTCATTACAGTCATGACTCGATAATCCGACACTAAACGTAAAACCTTCTTTTATGTCGGATAGCAAGGCTGTCGGATTGTCAAGACGGAGGTCGAGACACAAGGAGGGCTTGATGCTTTAACAGCTACTTCCACCCCGGGGGAGCGCTGCGATGGGGTGGAAGTGGTCGGAACGCACAGGCAGTACTTGGCTGCTGATACGAGTTTAGTTTGCGGCCGCAGTTCTGTTTCCACCGTGGCGGTGATAGAATACCACCACAACCATGGTGATTATGTTGTAAATGTGCTGGCTCCGGTTGGATGACTTAAAAAAAAAAAACAACAACAACAAAAAAAACTTTCAAATCGCAAGATACGCTCCACCGTTACCATCCATGTTTACTTCCATAAACACTGAGCACGCTCGCTGCGTGTGACGTCGTCGTGTCCTCTTCTGCGCATGCGGGACACTTTTGGGTCGTATGAAGTTCACACAGCAGATCACATACAAGTCGCATTGAACTGGAAACGTGAAGGAAGTCACAAAGAAATCAGATTTCACCAAAAAAATCTGAATTGAGCATTAAGTTCAATCTGTTGGATTGTTAAGTCAGATAATACGCTGTTATCCTGACTGGTGACATTAAATGTCAGGTCGGAGTCAGAATCCAAGGCTGTCGCTATGTTAAGGATGTTTTTATGGGTTCCATTCATTTTTCCTAAAAACCTGTCGGATAGCAAGGTTTAGGATTGTTAAGGGTCGGATTATCGAGGCACGACTGTATTTTGTTTTTACCTGTGTTTGCTTTGTCCTGCCTGATATTTTACCTGTTATTTTATGTTCTACCTGTCAAAGCACTTTGTGAATTGTTGTCTTTAAGGTGCTATACAAAAAAAGTTATAATTATTATTAATAATATATTGCTGTTAAAAGTGAAATGAGGCCAAATAAACAATAAACGGCTAAATTAAAATCAAACCTTGACAAAAACAACTTGCTGATACCGTCATACGACAGAACTCTGGCTACGTATGACCTCCAACACTTCAATTCTTTGAAAACACTTTCTCACTTTATGCCCAAACATCATCTAAATGTACCACATGAGACATGGAGCTTGTTTGGAACGGTTGCCTCTCATCACCCACAATTTAAAAGCAAGCTAATATTGTTAAATCCTTGCTGGTAATTTACACAAAACACTGCTGAATCTGTGGTACATTCAATCACTTTTAACTACAAAACCCATTACAAGATGCCAGTTCGTCAAACAGATGTACGAACAACGAGCACTAACAGCCAGATATCGAGCAAAGAACAAATTACTGTCTAACTGACTTAAAGGCCTGAAGACACCCTGCCAACATTCACTGATCCTGAGCCAAGCTGTTGATGTAAGTTACCGTCAGTCCTGAAACCACCACAGAGCTCCAGCTCTCTTCCCCACCTTTTCTTTCTCAATAGTTTTCAGTCACACCAACATATTTGTGTAACAAGCAGCAAGCGGTCAGTCGTGATGTCAACTGATCGAGCGAGTGCTGACGGATGACTGCTTTCCTTACATCGGCCTCGGTGACGCGCCGAGAGGAACAACAGTCAGAATCATGAGATATAAGGCGAATGACTCACTTAATGATTGAACTTTGATCTATACTACTATTAATGTAATGTGGAAAAACTCCCCGTCGTTATTATACAACGGAGAACAGGTCATTCAAAAATCCCCAGAGGCTGAGAACATTAGACTTGTTGGGTATCAATAATGTGCAGCTATGAAACAGACTGAGCACATTTGTTCACTAATAATTTGCACACAATACTTTGCATTTGTGGCCTTCGGGCTCCCAGTGAAACGCTATTTAATGCCAACGACTGAGAGGAGCGCTGCCTCTGAGGAGTAAAAACAAGAGACGCTACACTGAATTATTAAAGACTGAGCGACGGAGGAACAGTTAACAGATAGCAAGTGGAGACCACAACTTCTGAAACAGGCCTACGTGGAAGTGCCTCAGGATGCAGTTCCTCTAATCGTCTAGAAACTGGCTGCTGGATGGAAGGGAAAACCCAAAGTTCTCTCTCAGAAAGCAGCCAAATGTTCCCACAAGTTGGAGCATCAGTGGCTCGGTGGAATTTTAATTTCTTGGGAGGACATTTAGAGAAAATGTTTGGTATTATATCGTCTTTAGCTGACTGATAAATGCCCTAGACTAACATTTACTCGTTGTGGCTCCTGCTTTTCTGTCTTTCTACTGCTCAGGCTCTTCCTCATCCTCTAATATTGCAAAACCTGAACTCTATACGATCACATGATAAACCACCCTTAGAAAAATAATATCAGCTAACAAACAAATAACTAAAAATAAACTGAAGTTGCTGGATATGTTGCTAAGGGATTTGTTGACAACAACAAATCTTAAATTTGGAACATTTTAATCCTGAAGTGAGTTTTGTGAAATCAAGCAGCTGAATTTAGACACAGCAGCTGTCATTTAAAATATCATTTCTGTTGACTTCTTCTATGACAATTTAAAAAAGTGGTGGTATTTGTGAGAAAAGGGAACAGGGATAAAACAAAATATATCTTTACAAACAGTCAATTGGAGAAAATATTGTTTTCATTGATGACAAATCTGCCAATGACTTTCTGACTTGATTGATTTAACCTGGTTGCTTTTTGTCCGAATGTCTGTAAATGAAAAATGACCAACTCATGTCTTGTTTTGTCCACAGCTCGCTGCCACAGCGGAGTAAACAATCCAAATATTCATAATTCAATAATAAACACTTGGTGATTAATTTGATAAATGACAACTAATCAATAAATAACTGCAGGTCTAGAATAGGGGGAAACAAATCCACAGTTAAAGAATATACCTACTGAATTATTGATCTCTGTCTGAACCAGAGGAAGAGTTTGCAGCTACTCCTTCCCTACCACAGGCTTTCTGGTATTTTTAGAGCCGATACACTAAAAGCAGGTTGGCCTCGCAGGCATATAAATTTGGCATAAGCTGCTGCAGCTGCAGATGTCTGATGTGAAGGCCTCAACCTTTACATACCAGGAGCAAGTTTGGGCAAGTGACCAAAACTGATGCCTTTTATTTATTTACTTTTTTTAAAAAATCCCTGCAAGACATCATTAAGTCACTCTACAATAATCCTGCTCAGATGCAAACCACCAACATGTGGTTCTGCATACAGCCTGAGACAGACTTTGTCTAATAGTTGAAGAGACTTGGTCAGTTTACACTTTAGCAATTAGCAGTAATTGCTAAGTTTCGTGCCTGCTCCTCACATTCCGATACAACGATGATAAGGGAACCGCCACAAACACTTCTAAAAGATATCCGGCTGCGTGGCTTTGACCCCGGGTTACCTCCTTCAGCTGGTCCAGCTCCTGTCGGACCGACTCGTACTCGGTCTCCAAGTCATCAAATCGCTGCTTGAGCTGCTGCTTCTCCTCCAGCACCGCCAGCCCGTACTCCGCCGCCTGGATCTTCTCATGGGTCGTCTCGCGGAGCTCCCGGGTAAGACGCTCGACTTCGGCTCGGAGCCACTGCGGCCCGGCTTCTGTCACCAGAACCCCTTCGGGATATTCCTGCTCCTCCATAGACATCTTGGCGAGCCGCCGACTCACAACTGTAACGGGACCCAGCCCTGGCTGGCAGGAGCGGCGCACAAAACCACCGAGACCGCAAATCACAGCCTTCTTTGTTTGAACCGCATCGTCGGGGCTCAAATGGCGCCTCGGTGGCCGCTGACTTCGACAAAGCTCGAACTAGGCGACGGTTTTGTCATTGTCGAGGACTTTCTTCAGTCTTTTCATGAGGCTGACAGAGGAAACTTCAGTTGAGATCATCGATTGGAAAAAGCTGCCCCTGCTCGGCGTTCAAATCTCGGTGATTGTGACGGGAATTGTAGTTTTATGTTTCACGCAAGCGTCTGTAGTTTTACGTGCTGCGGCTGCCGCGTTGACTTCAAGTCCCAGAATGCAATAGCGTGTGCCCGGACCGGTCTCGACCCTGACTGAGGGCGTCAGTGCAGCGCTGCCATCTAGAGGTTTTGTTATAGAACTACAACTACGTCCACGACAGACGCGACGTTCATTATAGCGCTCAGTGACTATTTTTGTTTGTTTGTCGAATATTACCACATAAACAGAATAAATTTGAATCTAGAAAATGTCAAAAATGCCCATCAACAAGCTTCCAAAACCCTGATGTCTAAACGTACTGAAGTGAAAAAATAATAATTTTTACTATATGAAATTTAATTACTTTAATTACATAAATGTCAGAAATATATATAACATATGGGCTAAATTAGATTTTTTTACCTTTTCTTGGCAACTGATACAATTAGTTATCAAAATTGTTGCAAATTCAGGATTCGTTTATTGTCATTTTTGTGTATTTGCACATATATATATATATGTATACATTTGCAATGAAAATAATACCAGTAAATATAAATACATACCTAAAAAAATACAACGAACCAATAAGTATAGAGCAGCATGGTTTATTTACATTCATTTACTATCACTAGAATAATTAAATTGCTAAAGTGAAGAGTAACTAACTAATAGCGATGCACGATATTAAAATTTCTGGCCGATACCGATATCCGATATCAGGATTTCTGATATCGCTGATAGCTGATATTACCGACGTCGATATTCAATTTTTTGTTCACACCCAAAAATGAGTATAAGCAAGCACTGTGAGAATGTGAAAACTATTCAAAAGAAGCCCAAATTAGACCACACAGTCTTCTTTGTCACATAACATAAGTAAAACTTATTTAAACATATCTAACATTCAAGTCCATTTAAGTAAAAACATCTGTGAAATAGCAGCAAATGTAGAGACGAAGGCGCTGATGTTAGACAATCATTGGTTTTTAACATCAGCTAAATTTGTTCATCGGACCGATATCGATGTGTGGGAATAAACACTAATATCGGACCGATACCGATGTGGTTGCCGATATATCGTGCATCCCTACTAACTACATATACTCAAGTTACTGTACTGCCTTCACTCAAATATTTCTATTTTATTTGTGCTTTCACTCCACTATATTCCAGAGGAAAATACTGTATTTTATACTCTGGTGCATTTATTTGACATCTTTAGCTGCTTTTAAGATGAAGATTTTACACAGCGAATTAAAAGCTTTTAAAAAACAGTGTGTAGACGAGATCACATTTCAGATGTCTGACGTATTAACAGCTCCATTTTTTTCCCCTTTAAACTTCTCACATGGCTTCATATTTTAAGAAATGCATAAATGACCCAGTATCTCACCAAAAGTTGAAGAATTAAAGTTCATGAACAGCTTTATGAATCAGAACTTTGTTTCTGTGTCCTCTGATTTATCTGCTGTCCCTTTATGTCAAACTGTGTATAAAGCAGATCATGTAGCTCCACCTGCAGCAGCTACAACATGCTGCTGACACGCTGATGCTTCCGTTTTAATATCACCATGATGTCATGTCTAATAATATGTCAGGCAGAGAGACCAAACCGGTACTTTTATTTTAAGACTTGTTGCACTTGCTGCCAAAACTCATTGACTTTGACTGAAGCAAGACTTTCTTTATGCATATAATCTATTGAATATTGTATTTATTATATATTGTATTGGTACTTTTATTCAAGGGAAGATGTCAGAACTTTATCTGCCTATGTGATTTGGGTTCATGATTTAAATGTAAATGTGGCCTCACCTGCACAATCACAGCTTCCCTCATTTCCAAATCAGCGGTCAGTTTGTTTTAAATTCACGACCTGATAAGAGACAGGGGCAACGTCCGAAGACAATGACGTTGCTGGCATGACGCCATATATTTAAATTTTAAGTCTAGATGTCGAACTCTTCCATTGAATTCAAGATTTAATCGACTAGAACTGAAGCTATAGAAGTCAGTGAAACATCTCTTTCCATTGACTTTCAGCCTCTCTGTAAAGCTGTTAACGTGTGAATGTGAAAGCGAAACATTCTTATCTGGGACTTTCCTTCTGTGACAGCTCTGGGTAAAGTGGTTTGACGGGTTCAGGAAGTTGTCTGCTTGATGCTGGTTGTCTTGTTATTGCTGTTCCTGCCTGGACATTTACCCCGAAGCTGAACGTAAATGGTTTGTGTTTTTTGTTTTTTTTAGGGTTCACTGGTATCTTCTGCCTGTGGTAATGTTAATCTTTTTTCTAAAGTCGTATCACATTATATTATCTATCTATACATTATGTTATATTCTCTGTCTCTCCCTGTCACTCCCTTTCTCTCACCCTGAAGCAGCGACTTGGTGTTTATCCGTCAAACTGTTGTGTCTTTCTTTTTTTTTTTAGGGAAATGGAGGAAATCTCATTTTTGACTTTTACCAACACTGTATGTACAATATTCTCTATAAATATATCATTTCCCACCTGTATTTAGAAGATCTTAACTTTCTATTCTGGACATTTTCAGACAAATATTACCATTTTTATACCGTCTGCTTCGGTGTGGGATGGGTGATGGCACTCTACAGGCCATTTCAATGTGAGTAACACTTTAAATATTCATGCAGAGTAATGACTACCATAGATTCTGTAATTGTTTAGGAGTGTTTGTGTTGCATTGCAGCGCTCGTGGTCCCATCCGTTGTCGCTGCGTTCTTCACCATATCCTTTCAGATCGTTGGCATAGCGTCCAGTAAGATGAACTTTCTTTTAAAACTGACACCAACATTTTTAAGATGCTGTCTTCTTCCTGTTCTCTCATCTGCTGGCCGACCTATTATTTTACATTACACCCTGTAGATTTAACAATAATGAAGCTGTTTTTTTCTTGATGTTCCCTTGCAGACATGCCAGCTCATACAAAAAGATGTAAAGGCCGTCCTTATCACAAAGGAGGTATTTATACAAGAAAGGCATAATCATTTCTATTGATTCACACTGTACGGTTAAATAATGAGTCTGAATTCTGATGTAAAGTCGTTGCTCACATCCAGAGGTGTTCTGTAATAAACTGACTTTGGTTTCCTTCTTTCTGTAGATATTTATTGGGGCTTTGGTTTTGCCCTTTTCGTAGCCTTCTTGAACCTCAGGTCATTTCACGGTAAAGTCACATGACTCCACTACATGTGAGATGTGCTAACAGTTTGGGAAAATACTGGTTTCTTCGGTAACTAGTGTGCTTTATTTCAGTGTACACGCTATCTTACGGCTCTGGGATCATAGTGTTTTCTCTTAGGGGCGCAATACGGAAATACAACTCTTTGAGGTATTTCATTTTGCTCATAGATCACATTGAAGTATTTGGATGTCTTTGGTAGTTGAAATAAAAGTATTTATGTAATCTAAAAAACATGATATGTCTGTTTTTGACAGGAAGCGACGAGACAGACAAAGAACTCGGTGGTAGAACGGGTTTGCAGTCACACAGGATGGATTTACGGGCAGCGATTGTTCTCGGTGGCACCTCGTGGTCAAAGGGCAGACTTGGGATTAATGATGAACTTTCAGAGATGCCAGGAAATCATTCACGGCACAATGCAAACGAGCATGTTTCAGATCTCCAGCCTGTCATTTTCTAATTAGTTAGGAACATATGTAAGCAAGCTCTGGGATGTACAGTAAAGAAATAAATAATATATGACACTAATAACGTGTTTTTCACTTTTGTAAACGAGTTAAAGTGTTGGGAAGGCATCAGGTTCATGTTACATTTGGTTTTTGTGTGTGTAAAGCGTCTTTGAGTTTCTTAAAAAGATAAAACGTATGTGTTATCATTATGTACTAGTATATGACCGACTATAGAGCCCACTATGCTGCTACTGAAGGAGATTAACAGATCTTCATTGTATTTTCATGTAGACTGATGATAACGACATCTTAAATCTTTAAAATTACAAAATAGATGTAACTGTAATCCATTACAGTCACTGAGAAAAACATGAATTATGGTAACTAATAAAAAGGCATCACATCCACATGTGAGAAGCTTATGTTTGGAATAGGTAATCAGGCAAACGTTCACGGAGCGTTAAAGGAAGAACCTCCAGACTGATCAACAGCTTCATTCCACCAGCTGCCAGAATGCTGAACTGCTGATCCAGATATGTAAACATCTTTATTTAAATTGCTTTAAGTTCTTGGATCCTGAAGAATCTCATCTTCCCTCTACTACTGTGTACGTCAGGGGTGTCGAATCCTGGTCCTCGAGGGCCGCAATCCAGTTTTAGACGTTTCCCTTCTTCCAACACACCTGATTCAAATGATTCAGGATCGTTATCAGGCTTCTGCAGAGCTTGATGATGAGCTGATCATTTGAATCAGGTGTGTTGGAAGAGGGAAACATCTAAAACATGCTGGATTGTGGCCCTCGAGGACCAGGGTTTGACACCCCTGGTGTACGTACAGCAACATGACAATAAACTGGATTTGATTTGATTTGATAAAACATTCATTCTGTTCGCGAGGAAGAATACCTTCTTTGGTGTATTAACCAAAAACCAGCAAAGTTTGACAATATATTGTTTACACTTATGTTTTAAGGACTTTCCAGTTTTATTGCCAAATGATTATTTTTAAAAAAAAGAAGAAAAAAAGAAAAAAGAAAGTCAAGTAAAGTAATCAAATATATAAAAAAAAGCTATATTACTTTAATAAGGTAATTAAAATAATTATATTATTTACTAGGCTACATTTTCAACTGGGGGCTGCAAGGTGGCTCGGTGGTTAGCAACATTGCCTCGCAGCAAGAAGGACACCCGGGATCTTTCTGCGTGGAGTCTCCATGTTCTCCCCGTGCAGCGTGGGTTCTCTCCGGGTTCTCCGGCTTCCTCCCACAGTCCAGAAACATACTGAGGTTAATTGGTGATTCTAAATTGTCCGTAGGTGTGAATGTGAGTGTGCTTGGTTGTCTGTCTCTAAGTGTAGCCCTGTGATAGACTGGTTACCTGTCCAGGTGAACCTGCCTTCACCCTGAGTCAGCTGGGATACTAGTGAGGATTAAGCGGTGTGCAGATGATGGATGGATGGATTTTCAACTGGACAACTATTGTATGTAGCCTGTTACAGTTTCAAAGTATCCTTCCTAATCCTGGTTGTGCTAATTAATGGCATCAATTGCTGTGGCCGCCACCTCTCTTCTCAGTGTGTGTGTGTGTGTGTGTGTGTTTGTGTGTGTGTGCTCATTGCAGCCCTCAGGTTCCTCTGCATCAGGAACTGATTGAGCAGATCTGATTACATCCACCTGTGCTGGAGAAGGCTGATCCACCAATCAGGAGCCACCAGGAGGATATAAAACGCCAGCAGACCAGCGAGCTGTTGCTCATGTGCCTCTTTGTGTTTTCTTTATTTAACCAGGTGGGTTAATTGAGAACACATTCTCATTTACAATAACGACCTGGATCATCCCAAGAGGCAGCACAGAGCAGAAAATACAGTAAAGGGAATACATCCGTTAAAAAAAACAGGTAACAATTAAAGGCTTTGAAGATAAAATACACTAAAAGCAGGTACAGGACTCAGTAAATAGTTCCTTCACCATATTTTTAAAAGACGATAAAGAACTGAAATGAAGAGCAGCCAAAGACAGTGCGGGCGTTGGGGATGAGGAGGTGGATGAGGTTGACGGGTGACGAGTAGTGAACGTAGGTATGCCGGAGTTTGACCTATAATAGTTTCATAAATGAACAAATACCAATGGGTTTGCCTGCGGGAGTGAAGAGAGGTTGTACTTCTGTGAACTTGCTGAGGCACTAGATCCTGTTTGAGAACACTGCACCCACCGTAGATCGGCTGTTAGCCTCACCAGTGCTGTTAGGATTGTATTTCTGTTATTAGATTGGATTAGTTAGATTGTTATTGATTCTTTTTTTATTCCTCTGCATCATGGTGATCTTTAAACTCCAGGTTAGAGTCTCCTTTTGTTCTCGTTTAGACCTTAGTTGTCTCACTTTTGTATTTATTAACTCTTAGCTTTGGTAAATAAATACCTTCACAACATCAGGGTTTTATGTTACTTCCCTTTTCTCTAGTGAGCTGGGCATAACATCGATAAAACTAGTCGTCCAAGTGAGCGATGCAGCAGACGCTGCTTCAGTTGAAAGTGTATCGCTTGAGTTACACAACACACACAACAAGAAACACAAGCAATGCTGAAGTTTCAAAGTCAAATGCAGAGGGCTTTATTACATGAAAGTATGGTACATACAAAATTTCAAGTAACAAAGAAAGTGTTTGTTCTTAGGTTCTCAAGTCAGATGCAAATAGCTACCGATCTACCTTCATAGTCACGGCCACCTTTATCCTCCGTCAGCACTGGACGGGCCTCCAGCCCTCCACCGTTTCACAAAGACAGTTACGCTGTTGCCGTGGTTCAAACGTACGGCGGAAGCACAGATGAACGCTGAGGTGTGCTGGTTCATGGTGACTTTAAAAATCAATAACAAAAGACAGTGCTGAAGAGAAATGATCTTTGAAACCACAACCGTTGGGTTTGTTCTAAATATAGGAGTCGTGGTTTCGTGTGACTACTCTTTATGTCCTGCCTACATTTGTTTGATATTTTTCCGCTACCTTCTACAGACAACTACTCACTTAGCTTCTTTCTGACACCTACTTTAAAAACTAAGCCCCACCCAGTATTAAGAGCTACATCAGAACAATATAAAACCATCTCCAGCTGAATGAAGTTAATCAAAGAGCATTTAAAAACACATGAGAGCATCACACAGTAGTCATGTTGAACATGTAGTAACGGATTGTTTTGCACGGTGAGCATCCACCAACGACAAAGTCAGGTACGGCCACACTTTTAATGACTGAACTGGACCCATGACAAAGCTGAGATTATGAGTGAGGATGTGTGTGTGTGTGTTTGAATCTGTGTGTGTGATGGATGCACAAAAAGGAAGGTAAACGTGGAACTCTACTTCAAAGTGTACGGCACAAAATCACATTACTTCAGTACACGATCAGGGGTATTCACAGTGAATGAATTTAAAGAGCTGGGTGTCGTGTGAATCAAAAACATACTCGACCGCTTATCTTCGTCGTCGCGGGTGTAATCAGGTAGGTGGGTGGGGCAGGGGGAAAGTTACTTGGCGTTGGTGGAGCTGCTGAGCATCTTGCGGACGGCCTGGGCGATGGCGTCGCGGTCGATGCCGTAGATCTTGAGCAGCTCGTGTGGTTTGCCACTGCGGGGCACGTGGGACACAGCGAGACGATGCAGGTTGAAGCCTGACTCGTTGACCATCGCTGAGGACACCGCCTCCCCGAGACCACCTGTGGGAGGAAAGGTTATCACATGAGCAAGATAAAGAGGAAAGACGAGTTCTCTTGTAGGACGGGAGGCAAGCAAACGGCTTGACAATACGTCAGCAAAGAATGAGCCTTTGTGCACACAAGATAAGATAAGATAAGATAAGATAAGATAAGATAAGATAAGGTAAGTTCAGGAAAATTTGGATAAAATAAAAATGAGTTAAGTTAAATGAGTTAAATAAAGTAGCAAAGTTAATTAACTTTAAGAATAGGCTAAGTTAAGTTCAAATTAATTAAGCTAAGATGAGTTAAGAAAAGATAGAAAAAGTTAAGTTCAAATAAATTAGGATAAGATGAGATGAATTCAGTAAGGTAAGTAAAGTGGTAGAATTAGTAAAGTTAATTAAGTTAATTTAAAAAATAGGATAAATTAAGTTCAAATTAATTAAGCGAAGATGACTTAATATATGAGATCAAATAAATTAAGGTGAGATAAGTTAAGAAAAGATAGAAAACGATAAGTTCAAATAAAGTAGAACAACATAAAAATGAGTTAAGCAAGTTAAATAAAGAAGTAAAATTAATTAACTTAAAATAGGATAAGTTAAGTTCAAATTAAGTTAAGATGAGTTAAGATATGTGAGCTCTAATAAATTAAGATAAGTTAAGAAAAGATAGAAAAAGATAAGTTTAAAGTTAATTAAGTTAAGTTAATTTAAAAAATAGGATAAGTTAAGTTCAACTTAATTAAGCTAATATAAGATGCGTTAAGATATGTAAGTGCAAAGAAATTAAGATAAGTTCGAATAAAATAGGATAAAATAAAAATTTATTAAGTAAGTTAAAGTAGTAAAATTAGTGAAGCTTAAAAATAGGATAAGTTAAGTTCAAATTAATTAAATTAAGATTATTTAAGAAAAGATAGAAAAAAGATAAGCTCAAATAAATTAGGATAAGATGAGTTTAGTAAGATAAGTAAAGTTGTAAAGTTAATTAGGTTAATTTAAAAAATAGGATAAGCTAAGTTCAGATTAATTAAGATAATACAGTGTAAGATGAGTTAAGATATATCAACGCAAACAAATTAAGCTAAGATAAGATAAGATAACATAACATAACATAAAATAATCCTTTATGGATCCCACAGAGGGGAAATTTAGTGTTATCACAACAAAAGGGATGAAGCAAAAATGTAGAAAAATCAATAAAGAAAATAAAAAAAGAAATATACATAAGTACTCTTGATACTGTACAGATTCTTCTGTGTGTAAAACATTTAGGTATTTCCCAGATTTCTCTGAATGTGGAAATGACCATATTTAACAGTTAATGTGTAAGTACAGAAACATAGATGCTGCACAGATCTTATGAGCAGAAATGTTTGAATTATTGAAAGAATCCTTTGCAAACAAGTACAAAAAAAATATCCCCTTGAACTGAACCACAGCTGGTTTAGGCTTAAAACGAATGCGATATCCCACATCTGACGGATTACAGTTGCTAAATTTCCTTTGTCCAGCCTAGTCCATGCCATCACCCATCCCCTCTCTCCTATCAGGCACAGGACACGGCTGTCTGTGTTATCTAGGTCACAGTCAGCCCCATGGGCACATGCTCAGTTAAGGAAATCTGACAGCACTCTGCCTCTCTGGCTCCCACACTTACAAAATGCACCACAGTGCCACTACCTTGCCTGCGATGAGGGCACACAACACGCAGCCAATAAGCAAATGCCACCACACCGCGTCTACGTCACGGGACCAATGGAAACATGCCACCGCAACACACCCGAGGATGCCGACCAATGGCGGCCGCGCTACGCTGAGGAGCTTGTTGCTGCTACGTCGGTAATGTGTCATACAATATGCAAAAGCTGAGCAGGACGGGCAACTTTTAGGGAAACCTGCCTTCGTAGTAGTGGTCCTCCACGGTGAGGATCCGTCCTCTGGTGGCACGTGTGTGGTCGCTGATGGTTTTCATGTCCAGCGGTTTGATTGTGAATGGGTCGATGACTCTGACATAGATCCGCTCTGCAAGAGGAATTTTAGCACATAAATACAACACATAGACATACTGGAAACCATCATTTTACAGTATATTGAGGCAGGAATTAAAATTTAAAAAAAGGTTTAAATGTTTACATGTATGAGGAATGATACCAAATGAGCCATAAGGTATCTGCTTAAAATCTATGCTGCAGTATTTCTTTCATCTGCTGGCTGTGTTTTACATCATCTTGGACATTTTTCAGCCTCCTACAGTCATCTATTTTACTAAACTGTACCTTTCTTTAGATGTTCAGCTGCAGCGAGGGCCTCATGCAAAGTCACTCCAGCGGCCACCACAGTCACCTGGTCCTCCTTGCTCTGGTAAACCACCTGGCAAAGGGAAAGATGTTTTAACTTACAGTGCATGGTGTGTTTTTGTCAAGAGTACACTTTCTGTTTTCTTACTTTCCCTCTACTTCCCAAAGAGCGTCTCACCTTTGCCTGTCCAACATGGAAGTCCTCATTGCTGTTGTAGATGATGGCACTGTCTTGGCGGCTGGTTCGGATGTAGCAAACACCCTTAACGAAAACGACAAGAGCATGACCACACGAGGCTTTTTTTAAATAAATCAAGTTTCCTCTGATCTGTTCGGGAAGACTAACTGTGACGTTCTGAATACCTTTGTGGTTGCAGCCAGTTCCACAGCCTTCTCTGTAGACACACCGTCACTGGGGTAGAAAATGGTTGCGGTGGGAAGGGCCCTGAACATAGACATGTCCTCCAGGCCCATCAGAGAGGGGCCCTCCTCTCCTGTAACATACACATCCAGGTCTGTAACTGACTGTATATACATCCAGCATCGAGGAAATCCTCAAAAGTTCAGGCGAGCTGATGCATGCAGATGCACGGACGTATAGCCAGACTGCATGCAGTGTACCTGCGCTAACAGAGGGACACTTGGATCCCTGCTGACAGCTTCCAGGGCAGACACGAAGGGAGAAAAGGGGGAGGGTTGAGTAATAGCTGTAAGGCCAAGGGGGGGTAGATGGTGAGGAAAAAGCATTAGAGGGGAAGACAGAAAGGATTGCAACTACTACACACTGAGGAAGACACGTTTTTCTTTTTACATTTATCATACAGTCATCAGGGATACTGTGAATGTAGTCTGAGAAACGCTGTGGAGTGGTTGGATTCTGTGTGAGGGAATAGAGGTGAGCTTTGTGAAGGTGTGGCTTTGGTGGAGGGGGTGGTGGCGTGTAAGCAGCAGTCGACTAACCGGTGGACAGGCCGCAGTGGGAGCCACACAGGTTGATGTTGCTTTCTGAGATCGCCGCCATGCGAAGCTGGTCGTAGGCGCGAGTGAAGAAGGAAGCAAGAGTGCTGGCGAATACGACGTTCCTATCACGGGCTGCACATCCCATAGCAACGCTGACCTGGGAAAGGAAATGAATGTTTCTCAGCGCCGACACAAGAGGTATAACGTTCCTGTGCCGTATTAGATAGACACAGGTCACACGATGGCAGAAAGAACACCCAGAGGGCCAAATATCTGCAGCACAAACCATATTTGAAAGCCGCTTTGAACCAAAGACCACTGTAAGTAGAAAGTCAGTGAGAGGAGTTTTCCCTCAAAGCTCTGGAGCTTACTGGACCATATGGGTAGAATCAGTGGCATACCTCTTCTTACAAATAATTTCCTTTGTCCTGTCTCCCAAACTCCCCGCAGCCCCACAGCTTCCTTTGCTTTGTCATCTGATGTTAGATAAATTCCTTCACAGATAAGAAACCACTCCTTGTATGTTTATAATAAAATATATTTTATCTGTGTTTATAACAAATTGATCAGCGTCCTGTAACTGCATGTTTTCATTGAATTTCTATCAACCGCAGTTGTTGCGTCCTTCAACTTTTGACTTTTCTCATGCGTTCAGCCAGATGGTCCCTCCCCCCTCTGCGCTGATTAATATTTTACTTCTGAATACACTTGTCAAGACTGCTTATCATCATGCACACGCCTGACCTACATCGTAGCCGGCTGCTGCTGGAGCTACAACAAGACGAGGAATTAGCAACTCCCCCCCAAATTAAGATCAGATGAAACAATGACGGAGGCCGAAGGAAGGTGCTTTCTAACCGTGGGTGTCAGCAGCTGCCACACTGACCACAGGACGGCACATGGGCCGTGTCTTCGCCCATCCTTACATTACGGACAGACAAGCCATGCATAATTTATTAACACGGGCTCACGCTAGCAGCTGTGACATGGAGGTTTGTACCCAAAGCCAGGCTTGGTGAGAGCAGCTTACTCACAAAAATCACCACTGTAAAGCAAATGTGTTTTTAATAGGTTTAAAAAAAAAGAGTATTAGACCAAAATAAAAAAAAATGTGCACAGATGGCTTTGTTAATAAATGTCTGTCTTGCAAAAACACATTTCATAGGCTTTGTGAAAAGGCGGTAAATCTGGAGATTGGTCGAGGATCATACCATGTTCTGCTGAGCGATGTAGCACTCAACAAAGCGGTTGGGATGCTCGTTTTTAAAGATCTCTGAGTAGGTGAGGTTGTTGGTGTCTCCATCGAGGGCCACAACGCGCTCATTGTAGCGGCCCAACTTGGCCAGTGCCATCCCGTACGCCTTCCGAGTGGCAATCTGTAAAGAAGGAGACACCAAACAGATCAATGCTAGTGTCTATCTGTGCATAGCATTAATGCACCAGTGGCTTCTGCAGACAAGAGTATCTGAGAGTATAGACCTTCTCTCCAGGTTTGTAGCTGGGCGCGCTCGGCATCCTGATGTTTCTCAGGCTGACGGGCGGGGAGTCCTCGATGGGAGCGGGCGGGTACAGGTGCTTGCTGCTGTTCATGATGCGGCTCTGCAGATCCTTCATGACCATCTCGGCCATGTCTTTGGGCAGAGTTTTGGCATGCCAGCCCAGCTTATCCTCTGCAGCTGAAACCACATGAGCCACATGCCATTACATTTAGAGAACATTAGATGGGCTAACGCTCAGACCGTAAAGCTGATGCTGCACGTTTCTGCATTAAATTTAAAATGAGAGCAATGCATTTGCTGATGAGGCGTGGGGTTGTGACAGACAATTACCTGGAATGCCTTTGCCCTTGATGGTTTTAGCAATGATGGCGGTGGGTTGATGGCGGGGCTGGCTCAGAGCCTTGCAAAGCTCCTCCACGCTGTGTCCGTCCACTATGATGGCATGCCAGCTATGCACACATTAAAAGACACTTGGTATGCTTCACATGGTAGATGACATGGATGCATCACAGCACATAGTTTAGCCTCTACTTCAGTATGAACTGTGCACTGTTACCCAAAAGCTTCACAGCGCTTCTGGTATTTCTCTACGTGATGCTGCAGAGGTGCTGGGTCGCTCTGGCCCAGACGGTTGATGTCCATGATGGCCACCAGGTTGTCCAGTTGGTAGTAGGAAGCAAACGACATGGCCTCCCAGACGGCTCCCTCCGACATCTCTCCATCGCCCAGCAGGCAGTAGACACGGTAGCTGAGGTGGAGAAGAAGTCGATACGGTTAGCTGGTGTCTCTCTGGTATATCTGTGTGTGTGCTGTGTATTTGGATGAAGGGTTGTGCTTGTGAGAAGAAGTGTTATCTCACATTGGGTTCAGCTGTGCTAAAAGCTTCCTGAGGCCTCTGAAGATGTGGCTGCTGATTTTCACACGCATCCCCCATACAACAGTAATTTAACCTAAACAAACAATTTCTTATTTTTGAAGAACTTTTAGCACCATCCCTTTTCGTTCACTGTTTGTTTCATATTTTTAGCTGGTTGCATGGAAATCAACGCTCGAAACGACTGAAGTCAAATGAAATCATGTCGTCATAATACCTTAGAACAATGGATTTACAGCCAATACATGGTTGAAAGCACAAATTTTGAATTTAATTCTGAGATGAAATCTGCTTGGATGGTAAAAATAACCGAGATATAGCTGCTGCGCCTGCGATTATTGGAGCAGAAGAATTGTGAGAGCAGAGCATGCAGCCGCAGTACACACCCACTGGATGTGCAAAGTCCTCTTTAAAAGGCACCAGAAAGAGGCGCCATGCAAAGCTAAGATTTAAACGCAACCAACAGCAAAATGTTAAGAATGCTTGTGTTTGACACCAGATGCATTTCAAATTAATTCTAGATTCTAAACTTTTCTTTAAATTTTAATTTACTAATTTGATTAAGCTGCAACACTAGTGTAAAGCTACATTTTTTTTCCACGTGTGTTTGTTTGTGATGCGTTCAATTGCAAAGGATCACCTGGACTTGTCAAAGTATTTCCCAGTGTAAGCCATCCCACAGGCCACACCGAGACCCTGCCCCAAGGATCCAGTGGCCACATCCACAAATTGTTGCTTCTGAAATGCACACAAAGCGTATAAAACAAAGGAACAGAATGGTGGGCGAGTCACTGAGATGACTCCTGAGGTGTGCTACAGTTTGTGACCACTTACAGGGGTTGGGTGGCCCTCCAGGTTGGAATCCACCTGGCACAAACTGAGCAGCTCGCTCTCCTTCAGGAACCCTGTTTCCACCCACATGGAGTACAAGGCAGGAGCAGCGTGACCCTGAGAGAGAAAAGAAATTCCAAATGTCAAAGGATGAAGAGAGGCCTTCGTGCCCAGTACCAGTAGGGCCGGCTGACTCACCTTGGACAGGATGAAGCGGTCGTTGTTGAAGTTCCTCGGGTCTTCGGGGCGGTACCTCATAGTGTGGAAGTAAAGCACGGACATGATTTCCGCCACACTGCAGCATGATGTGGGGTGTCTGCACAGTGGAGGAGAGGGTGCTGTTACCCATATGTCGGACATAAGCGCACACATATGGCCACAGGAATGTACCGTACAGTCAAAACAAAGACACACAGACGGCTTCAACTTTAACACGTTTATTATTGGGAGCATATGGTGGAGATCAAGTCCCTTAATACGAGTGGTGTAGTCAGATTATTGTTCCATAATGCTACAGAATGGTTTGGGAGGAAACTCAGCTCAGGTGATCATCTTTCAATTCAACCAGAAATGTAAAATTTTAGTGGTTTCAATGCCACATGCTGCCTTTTGGAGAGCATGAGGTGGTCTGTCTGGGCAGAATATAAGGATGCTTGAAGGTCCAACATGTGGAATCCAAACTAATGCCAGACAAAAGACGTGTAGCAGATGTAAAGAGGTGATAGGCCTTCAGAAATAGAAATGTTGCATGCTGGACAACTATTGTAAAGGCACTGATAAAACCCTGTATGAAGACCATTTATGATGCTAGTGACCACAGAAAGCCTGCCTGTACGATCAAATAAGTGATTATAAATGTGATGATACCATTTAAAGAAGAAATGAGAAGAACTGTTGCTTTCATGGAGTCATTATATTAAACTAGAACCAACTTCAGCCACAGCTCTCCTTCCAGAGCTCTTTAATCTGAAGGAGAAAGTATTTTGGCGCGCTGGATTCAGAGGCTGGTTACGACCCTCTCCCACATGTAAGAGTTTTATTAGAGTTTAATTAGCCGTTAACACCTTTAAGGCTTAGAATATTTGAAGTCAGGCAACATTATTACAAACATTTCTTAGTGTTTTTTTGTTTTTATCACCGTACGTTTGTCAAAGTGTTCAATGAGACTCCGATGAATCCCTTCATGCTTTAAATACAGACAAGATTTTGTGTTTTCCAAAGCAAATGCTGATTAAAAAATCAACCTTGTTCTGCTGATCTGAGACATTTCTACTTCAGATTGGATGTGATGATTCCACGTATGTGCCAACCAAATGCACCAGCATCCTACAACGGAGCTCTAAGAGGACATCATAACAAAGATTTCAGCTTTTCATTGAAAATTTCCTTCTCCCGTTGAAAAAAGCTGCGACGACCGCAGCAGCACTCAAGACACATAATTCACCCACGATCGCACATGAGAGTCTATTGTGTCCAGTGCTGCTCGAGGGCACTTTATCTCTCTGAAACAAAAAAAGGCCGAATTAATGTTTATCCTGCAAAACAAAATTAAGTGCAAGACTTTAAAATATCCCTAATGAACCAAATATCTTTTAAATTTTAGCTCATTCTGCAGAAAATTAAAACCCTGTCGTAATAAAAGATTAAATTATTCATTTTGCACGACGGCTGTGGTGAAATAGTTTCACAGTTATGTAACTTTGCTGCACTAAACTCAAAGGGATCTTTTTTTTTTTCCTGCTACATGGTGTTTATTTAATTCACCATAAATGTTACATAAAGCTGAATGATGTAGAAATTGTTAAATGTGGATAATTTCATTCATTTAATTTCATTGATTAAAGATTCAGAAGGAAATTTCTCAAACAAACGGTGGATTATTCTTTCAATGGACCAAAGGAGGAGCACAAAGGTAGGACACGCTGTTCCTTTGGCCCTTCACTTGCATCACATGCAGGGTTCAGTAGGTGTGACCGCTGGTGTTCATCTGTGCACGTTGCAACGAAAATATCAAGTGTGACTTATGGTATGCATGCATTCTGTGTGTTTATATGTGCAGTGCCACTCACAGTCCTCCACTGAAGCTCACATGTGAGAGCCAGTGGAGTGAACTCACCCACTGCCCGCCGCGGTCGTCGCCTTGATGGAGTTGATTCGAAGGCGGTTGGCGATGTTCCTCAGCGCCTGCACTGTCTGCTGGTCAGGTTTGTGGTAATCCTCCATGAAGGCAAAAATATCAAGTTCTTCAGCACCAAAAACAAAAAAGAAAAGTGAACCAACTACAATCCTGTGATGAGTTTTGAATGTGTGTGTGAGAGAGAGGGAGGGTCGCCAAACAGCAGCAGCACCTGTATGTATGTATGTATGAGTGTGTGTGTGAGCGATGGAGGCTGGGAGAAAGAGAGAGAGAATGGAGGAGAAGCTGGATTTATGCTACCAGGCATAGAGATGCACAACACACACACACACACACACACTGACGGACACACACAAAGGAGGGGGAACCCAGTGACGTGGGCTGGGTGTTACTGCTAAAAAATAATGGCACTCATTCTATTGGCTACTGTCTGACTGGGATGTTGGAGGTTTGTCACAGTTATAGATGTGCAATCGTGTGTGTGTGTGTGTGTGTGTGCATGTGCATGTGTGTGTGTGTGTGTGAAAGGATTGTCTGGATAACAACCGGGGGGAGGGTGGGTCATCTGAAGCACCTCACCCTGATTTGCTGTGGCTTCACTGTCCAAACTAATAATTCAAATCGGATGGCTGATTGTTCTTTGTTATTTACTTCTATTATCTCCTATTGTTGTCGCCGAAGCCCGCGTTTGAACTGATCTGTTCGTGTTACAGATTTAACAGAGAGGGAAAAAGGCGATGATGTGAGCAGAAGAGTGACAATTTAATAAGGAAAGACGGAATAAAGAGAAAATGTGAATCAAAAATGTCCAGAGCTCTGTATTTGGTCAAAAAAAAAAAAAAAAGAAAGAAATTGTGAACTAATGAAAAATCATTTCAGCCTCAAAATCACGGGAGAGGAAGAGAAAACAAAAGCAGAAGAGAGATAACTTTATGATCCTCATTGTAAAAAAATGTGAAGTGAAAGTGATTGTTGGTTTTTTAAACATGTGGATTTTTTTCTCTAAGCTGTACTTCTTTTGAACGACTTACCAAACTGAAATGTGACATGAAAGCAAAGAGAAACAAAGGGAAGACAACGTTGGTGCTTTTCTTTTAAAACAGATATTTACTCCAGAAAAGGTCAGAGCTCCACGACTCTGCTGAGCCCAGGCCTCCTCCTCACCGTCGCCGTTTCCTGTCTCCTGTCCGACATCATGATGCTCACTGAGCTTTACGGCAGACTGAGAACACGGTGTTCTTTCCTCAGAGTCCTTTGGCGAGCGGCCTCAGGGGCCTGATATACTGTACATGCCTGGGCCTCGCTGCTCAGAGCTTATTCTGAATTACCTGCAGGGTCAAACAGGAAGAGACTTTTTAGTGCTCCTTCCACTGAAATGACCAAAAAAAAGTGTGAAGTTCATTTTCTTTGGCCTCAAACTGAATTAGGGTTTGTAATTGTACAGGAAGAGGACAATAGCATCGGGCTACACCAAATAAAGAACATGCATTTATTATTTTATACAATTTATGAGAGTATATTTCCATTGTATATGATACAGTACAGCATATTGTATGGATGTAAATAATAAAAATTGTGTTTATCGTTAAATGCTTTGATAAATAAAAGATTTGAAAGCGTTCCATCACATGTTTGATTTACAGCCTCAGCACAAAGCATTGAGTGCAGCTGACAGGAGAGCCGTTATGGGGAAGGTTGGCCTGCCATCTAGAGGATCATCTCTGATAATACATTTGACCCCTTTCCATTGGTCACTCACTGGATGCGATGTGAGAGCGGATGAGCGTCGCCGAAACGAGAGACCGATGAGAACTCGGTGCACTCGTCCGACTGGGACGTTTTAGTAAATTTGATATTTTGAAGACGTAAATCTACCTTCTGCCTGCTGATATGGATTATTTACGAAATAGATGGAATAGTATATTATCATAAAAATGGTTGGTCATGTAGAGACACATTTCAGCATTTAATTTGAATGTGTGTGTGTGTGTGTGTACAGTATGCTGCTAAGTAATTAGACAGAAAACATGTTCCTGATTTCTAAAGCAGCAGTGTACAGTGACCAGGAGTCCGCTGGCTGGACTTGTACAACCGGTGACTTGGTACAGTCTAGAAACTTCCATTGCACAAAAAAGAGGGCAAAAAATTATTGTTATTGTGGAGCGGTGACAGAATAATACAGGCTATTTCTGGACAATTTATTTAATCGGAGCTCAGATCTTTTGCTTGATGGGAGAAGTCAACAAACATGCTGACACAAGCGATCAGTGAGGCGTTACATGGAAAGATCTGCTACACACTGTTGTGGACGTGTCGCAGGAACGTACGCTACTTTCCATTACTCCATTTTGAATGTCCTTTCCTCAGCTGTAGTCCAAACATTAAACACCAGAGGACACTGTATGCTCATAAATGCTGCCATGAAAGCGGTTCATTAGACGGCTCCGTCCATATGCTGGCCCATAACTGAGGGAACAGCATCAGAACTCAAACGTGTTTATTCAAGAAAGGAGATTAGAATTGTTTATGCAGGGATTTTTAAATCAAAGAACACGGAGACAGTTCTTGAGGTGAAGTTGCACTGACAAACATACTGAGTGGAACCAAAGATGTGAAGTGTTTGGTACCAGTGAGAGGATGGCAATAAATTCAGCTGAACTTGTTTGATCGTGGCACATGCTCACTGACTCCCATCACCCTCTCCCGTCCCTCACTCATGTCCCTCTGAACCTCTCCAGCCATGTGATCGTCTCTGCAGACTCCTGCCCTTCGCTGCAGCTGGGAGGTCACGTCCCAGCACCTCCACATGCACAGTCCTACTGATGCCATCTCTTGAGCCCCCTGCTGCTATCCTGGTTCCACCGACATTGTCCTTCTCCCAGTTTCCAGCAACTCCTCTGGGCTCCTGGGCCCTGTCAGAAGAGCTTTTCTTCACAGAGCCCCACAGGTGCCAGCCAATGGCAGCCTGGGAAGACGACGCCACATGACGGTGTTCAGCCAATGCCTGACGCCCACAACTGCACACTTCCTGGAGGGAAAGTACATTCAGAGAGCATGAATGTTTCTATTTTTAATCTCTCTGGCAGAAAAAGAGGAGCAAAGCCACCACTTTTGAAACAATGCCTTAATATAACACACAGTGTGCTCCCGCCAACACAATGCAGAGCTCAGGTAAACAAAAATGTACTCGGTGTTGCTGGACCTTGAATGATTAATGGGGTTTGAGAAGTAGCACAGATGCAGATGCACACATAGATAGACACAGGCCTGCATATGTGCACATGCACTCAGGCATGGTGAGACATGTGCACACGTGTACACTAGCGCACAGAAATGAACTCAGGAATAGTCTCACATTTATATGCATAGAATCACACACACACACACACACACACACACACACACATGCATGAATCTTGGTACATTTCTTTAATGCCAGCCGCTCCTTCAGGCTTGAGCCTTTTCCACTCTGCTCTTATCACTCCATTTCCTTAAATCGCTCTGCAGTCACCATGATGACATGGTGCTTGCCCTTCTATCTGAGAGCTGTCCGTCACCCAAAGGCCCCACCCACTGACAGTCCATGAGACAAGAGCACAGGACTTGTGATGGAACGTCAACAAACCAGTCTGTTGTTCAGATCTTCAGAGAAGGACTGGGTGACCATCCTGGGAATGGGGGTTTGGTTTGAGGCAACACATGCATGTTTTGTTTGTTTTTGTTGTTTTCTTAAAAGTGAAAAAGAGAGATGGATGCCAAGACATGGTCATGGTATACAGGTGGAACCACAGATAAAGTAAGATAATGACAGCAAGAGGATTAAATGAGCTTTTTGAAGATGAGCGATATAAAGATGGAGAGCTTTAGATAAGCAGGGGAAGTGGATGAAGAGAAAAAGGAGAGACAATAAAGAGAGAGGAAGATTCAGAGCGGAGAGGAGAGTGTGTGAGCAGGGGTTAAGGCTGAGCGTGTGTTGTAGGCTCAGCAGTGAAGTTGACGATGCACTGGGAGAACAGCTGCGCTGCAGGGCTTTCAGGCTCCATCACTACTGCTCTCCTTCAAGCAGCTCCACCAACACACTGCCTCGCTCTCACACACACCGATGTACACACAGCTCTCATAAACATGAAAAAGCAATGATTGTTGCATCAGTGCACATGAGTGTGCTGCAGTAAAAACCAGGATTTATATGCCTGCTCAGATATCGTATATCCAGCTGCACGTGGTCACATTCCAAACTGTTTCAAATCTTTTTACTACTACGTGGCAGCAAAAATGTCTAAAAACACAGATTTCTGAGACATGAAACTGAAACAATGAATGATGCTGAGATTAAATGAGAAGGGGAAGAAAATCGCTGTTTTGCAGCTTATGAGCGAAGCGGGCATGTAGATTTATGGCAATCTGATTTAAAAAGAGCTGCAGAAAGTGAGGGAGGGAGGAAGCGGGCGAGGGAGAAACTGAGGGATAAAGGACACACAGTAAACGCTAAGTGCATTTGCAGAGCAATAGAAAAACACAACAGCTGTTCACTGTGAACTGCATATGTAAACTAAACACGTCGTGCACTCTTATTGAGTCAACACTTTATAATCCCCTCAGTGGTGGGACAAACACAGCTCTGACACAGGACCTCCACAGAAGACCTGCCTCGTGCTGAGCTGCATCCGTCTGTCTTTGTTTTAATGTGTGAATTAAAAACCAGCACAGAGCATCTTCATGGGGACCTTAAGAAAAATAACCTAGAAAACACTAATCAGAGACGAGGCCAGACTGCTGCACTGAGCCAAATGGCAACCGTGCTCCCTGGAGGCCACTGTACTCTCTATCTGTGTTTTTACTCCATTTTCGGTGATTTTGAACCGCATTGCGCTTTTCTCCTCGGGGACTACTCACTGGGTTTGAAGGGAAGAGAGATGCAGAGTTTTGAACTCGATCTCGAACACAAACAGGGCGATACGTGCACGTCGGCCGTTCCAGGTGGATGAACACTGAAACATGTAAGCGTTATTTCCACCGTCTTCACCGCCGTACGGCGAGTCTTTGCAGGAACCAGGTCAAGAACAGGAGGAAAGAGTAAAAAAAA